TCTTTAAAATAATAAGCTCATATCTAACATAAGCTATTAAGTTTTGAATAAAAAATTAATTTAGTTAGGCACTATTACTTAATATGTCAGGAAATCACGTATTTCGTTTAGTCACTAATTACACATTGGAAAAGGATATAGTATCTGCATTATCACATTACCTATGTGATCTGATATTTAGTTAACATTCTATGCAACTTATAAGTAAATATATATGTACTATAAGTGTTATAAAAATAATTAAATAAACATATATGTCATGTCTACGATTTTTGTATGGTATTTCTCATGAGATAATGAGGAAGAGAATAACATAAAACACTTATTTTAGTAATGACATGCGCCTAAATAGAAAATTTTAAAAGCTTTTAGATATATTACTTCTTATCAATACTAAAAATACAGATAGATACAAAGTTCTTTTCGTCGATAGCTTAATATAGCTTAATTAATAAAAATGTATCGAATTAGATATTATATGACATCAGAATGGAATTATTTTTTTTTCTGTCATTATTTTATATTACACAACAATCTAACCTTTAGATATGCAAAGGTTAGGTTTAAGTTTGTTTATATTATATCTAAAATCAAAAGCAGATATACTAATTATTCCCTAATATACTGCATCTTTTCTTCTCTCTTGTATTTAGAAATATTTTATTAAGTTATATTTGGGAAAAATAGATAGATTTTATATTTTATCTAAATAAATAAAAATATATATATTTATATAAATATGCATAAAATTCTTTACCACATTTATGTCAATTATTGGAATGCGCATTACAAAAGCTTAAATAAGCATTTCAAAATATACTTAATTATCAAAATATACTGTGTCATATTTAGCAAGTCAACGTCATTAAATCACGTCCACATGAAAATATTTTTTGGTTCGTCAACCTTGTGTTGTATCGATACGTATCATCGATAACGTCATGAGAAACGTATTGCTTTGTTGAAATGAAAATATCCAATAAAATCGTATAGCGCTAGACTTTGGTTGCTAGCGTTGTGTGTAAACAAATTGTAATTGTTGCGTTATGTATCTAGATATATCTGTGTATGCATATCTATAAAATCTTATATGCTATATGAAATTTAATTTGCACATGAATATCGTGGAATGGCCTGGCCTAGTCTGAAACGACTGCATAAGTATATACCATACAATATGTATTGTATTTATGGCGGTAAATTGTAATTGCCGGTAGTGTGGTTGGAGTCAGTCAATTGGTCTCTTAGTTGCTGGGTAGTGTTGGTGCTGTTTTCTACGTATCTATAAACAAATAAACAAATGAACCAGCCAAGCAATTGAGGTTACATATTGTGGGCTGGGTGCTGCTTCAATCTTCAATAAATACAATACTAAACGTACATTTTATACGTAAATATGCCATATACTGGAATGTAATCCCCAAAGAGTGCCCAATTTAAATTTAGACAATTTGTTGTGCTGTATTTAATGTTGTCTGAATTTTATAGACAGACAGTTTACAGATATATGAAATAAAAATATTCGTATGTCTACCAAAAATTGCCGTAAATGTTATTTTCTAGTAAATTTGTCTACACAAGCACAAGTAAATGCAAAATATCGGCTATAGCATCTAAACTAGATGCCAATGACATGAATTTTTTTATGAGTTTTACAGTTGACAATACATTTCATCCGTAAATGGTTTAGGTTCATATATTATTAACACATACTCACCCGTATTTCTGTTGTAAAAGTTTATATGAAAATATTTCAAGACTACGAACTTTTATCTTTGATTTATTTGTCTATTGTCTGCTGGTTACGAAAATTTCATAAACATAATTTATATACGCTTGAGTACGTTCTTTATTAAATTAACTTTACGGCTTTTTGTACTTTAATAAGAATTCTTCATTATGTTACTTTCTTACAGAAAGTTTGCTCAAATATTTTTGGTCTTCAATTTATTATAATTACTCTTACTTTTACAACTTGAAAAGACTTAATTTTTCATGAATCGCATTTTTCATCATCTCAAAAAAAGAAATTTGAGTTTTATTTCATATTTTTTGTTTTTGTTTTTGTATTTTCTACTTATATAACGTTTAACAAAACTTTCGATTTTCTCTAAATATTTTTTTGAGTTTTAAATAATTTTACGTTGTAATTATTTTTAAATAATATTTTTTTACAGTTATTTCTTTTTTCCGATGCTTGAATATACGAACTTTACGAACTAGATTGATTGTAACATATATAAATCAGAGCTTTTGGGTCCTAAAAAACATTTTTTTCTTAGGATTTGTTTTCTTAGGTTTGTATTTTACTAATAGATTATGTTACATATGAAAGCCTGACTGTCTATGAAAGATCTGAAGGAAGATCTTAAAGGTAGAAGTCCCACATATTATGTTTACTAATATTCTTGTGACAATTATTTTGTATTTTAATAAATTATATTTCGCTTTTATTCCATAGAGAAATATAGTGATTCAAAATTTGTAAATATCAAGAACTCATACGTACTTTTCAGATTTTAACTTCATATACTATTAGTTTTCGTAACATATTTGTTTTCTACTTTGAGGTTTCCTGTCATTAATTCTCCTCGTGTTCAGGTTTGAAGAATATTTGATCAATCTAGTGCCACTTACGACGAAGGATAATCATTTTATTGACTCGTAAGCATAATTTTTCTTATGCAATTTTTTACATAAGCAATTTTTAGATCCTGGATGATGTAGTTTAATACGTTTCACAGTAAATTTTTAATGATAATCTGTACATAAAATTTGCTTAGAAACAGAAACCAAATACTACGCGAGGCGAAATACGTAAATTAGTATGAATTATATAGATTCAAAATTTTCAGTTTAGTTTGAGGGTAGAAGTATATTATTCACAGCTAAAATCCTTAAATGATTATTAAAATAATAAAAACCCTAATATTATTTGCTAAAATAAAGTTCTATATTAAAAATTGTAATAATTTTATATATACGAATTCTGATATGTAACTGAAGTTGTATCAATTACAAAGTAAACATCTTCAATTTACTCAAGCAAACAGTCAATACTCAACATTTTATAACAAATTTCGCAAAAAAGTCTATAAATAAATTCAGTTGACCAAAAAAGCAATTAATAGAAAATATCGATTATCGTAAATGTTTAAAGGTCTTCAATTTAGTTTTTGTTGTGAACGAAACATAGACTATAAGTCCATATTTTCACTGCAGCTAAAATAACTTTTGTTAATTAAATAAAGATTTGATCGTTTCCATTGATATAAGTTGATTATTGCATGTTAAAGAACTTTTATGTATCAGAAAGTTCTGTGAAAGTTCAAGAAGAGCTTTTGTTTGTTTACATTTCAATTGATAACAGATCAATGTGATAGTAATAGATATATAAAGACAACAGCTATACATCGGAAAAAATTAGTAATAAACTTGTAACTTTTTGGATTTTATCGACAACTAATTTGTAAAATGATAAACTTAATGTAAACGTGCATATGTCACTATTAACTATACGTCACTAGTCACTATTAAAGCCTATATATTTATCCATCGTATTGCAGTTTGATTTTGACTACTAATTAGTTTTTGAACATATAAAAGTGATTTCAATTATAATTTTAGTAATTTAAGTGGATGGAACTAAAAGATTATCTATTTCCATTGTATCCCATTTGTAACCCACCTCTCCAAGTGTTCGATTTTTAGATGTTTCAATTAAAGAAAACTTTATAATATATGTTACGTATACTGGGTATGTCGAAACGACATAAATATATTTCAAGGAATAAAATATATTGGGTGGTAGATATACGTAGCTATCGGATTTCAAAAAAGTTTTTTCATATACTCGTAAATATATTTGGTTTCGTTCTTAAAGTAAATATTTCATTTAATTTGCGTTTTGTTTCTCTTTAAAATTTAAATTTCATCCATTTGGTATTATAAGTGAATGAGCACATAAAAACTGATAAAATGAAATTTATTATAATATACAGTAAAATGAAATAAAGATATTTATTTATATACTTTTTTAAAAATAAAGTATCTGAGATTTATAAACTATGTTACATGGTTTTTGCATTGTAAAGATATGAAATATAATATTGTAAATAACTATTTTTATACTTTATGTACATATTTATATATATTTTAAATTATTTAATTTTTATACATTTTCATCAATAATTATTACAATTATTTAACCTTTTTTATTCATTTTTTCCCTTATTTCTTTTACAGAAACTTTACAAATCAAAGTCAAACAAATTCAAATCTATTCAATTCTCAAATCTTTTCGCGTTGAAAAAATGTTTCAAATCATTCAAAGTAAATCTGAAACTGCTGATTTGGCAAGAAACGTATCTAAATAAAAACTCAATCCAATAAAGAATTTCGGACGTGTAAATTTTTGTATAATAATCTCGGTGAAAAAACTTAGAGTTCTCGTACTAAGTCGGCAGTATAGAAAAAATATCTCTCGTTTTGTTCTTTTTTTTATTGTAAATAATGATGCTTTGTTTTGAAAATGAATCGTTTTAACATACAACAAAATATTAAATTACGCAACTATCATCAATTGTTATTATATTTTGTTGTTGTAAATAAATTAAATCAAGTAATAAATACGTCAATATTAACTAAATATAGTTTTTTTCGTGGGTTAGGAAACGTTCGCAATATCTGCCCCGCAAAAACTACATATTCATTATATACATTGTTAAAGTTTTGACCACGAACACAGATATCATTGTCATCATCATTTCTACGCCAAATTTATTTTGTCATTAATTACTTTTATGTTACTTTTCTTGATGTTGATTATGGTATTATTAATCGAAATATTTTTAAAAATATGAAAAGATTCGAATAAAATATATATCATATTACCAAATATACAGAAATTAAATAAATTACTAAAATAATATGATAGAATAACAATAATTATTTAAAAAAAAAAAATATATATATATATATATATATATATAACAATAAAATATATTAATATAAACGAGAGTAAGATAAAGACAACGTCGGACTAAAAATTAAATACCCATCACCACAAAGTGTTTTCAATTTACATACAATTATTTAATTAATTAAATATATAAGAATAAGATCAGAACTAGTGCAACACAAACAAAAATACTGGCCAACCAATACAACAATAAACAACACTTCATCATCATCGTTCATCGATTAAAAAACTTAACTGAAAGCAGAATTTAGAAAAGTGACGCTACAATTTGAAAAAAGCGTTGGTTGGAGCGGTGCTTGTAGCTGCACAACCAACGCAAAAAACATAGTACAAATACTGCAATATGGCAACACCACAAGTCAAGGACTTGGTGTTGCGTTCGCCAGCTGGATCATCTGAAGTCGTTACATATACGTGGCCTTTACAAGTTGGTTCCGGTCAGGATAAACATGATAATGGCATCGATATTATCGATACGATCAAATTCGTTTGTGATGATCTGCCAAGTATTTCATCTGCATTCGAAGAGATTAATCTCAATCAAATCGACACTGCCTGCTATAAGACTATGACAAATCTTGTCGATCGATTTAACAAGGCTGTAGACAGTATTGTTGCATTGGTAAGTGTTATAAGTGACAAATTATGTTTAAAATTATTTGACCATTATTTTATAAAAACAATCATTTAAAAAATTATAATTTATATTTAGTATTTTAGGGTTAAAGTTGGTTTAAGAGAAATTTAAAATTTTATAGATTCAAGCACTTTTTCTAAATAAAAATTAACAAATTTTAGCTCAAATCATAATATTTTCCAAAACCATCAAATTCAATAAATAATATACCAACTCAATATAGGAATGTTTAATATCTTAAAAATAAGACTTTAAGTTAGGTTTTGACATTTAAATATTGTTAATATTAAAATTAAATTAATAATAATAAATATTATTAATATTAAAATTAAATTAATAATAATAATAAGTTGACTAATGAATGCTAACTCTAAGGTTCAAATTAAGAAGGGCACGTGTTCGATACCTGGTACTTGCAGACTCAAAAAATTATTTACGAATAATTAAATACCAGAATTATTTCCAAGACAACTGATGATGGTTATTTAGAAATACTCGAAACAGTTGTATCGTTAGCCAAAAATTCATTTAATTAAATTAATATAAAAATAATTTTTGTTGTTGTACTTCACTGCTTTTTGGAAAACCTTAAACAATATTTCTTAATGTATTGAAATTTTTGTGATTAGTTTTTTTGCGGTTTTCTATATTCATTACAACTTCATTCTCATCTAAAGATCTATTCTAAATAAAAGGTTAAAATTAGTTTACTTTTTAGATATGCATTTCCAATACGGTGCTTCAATAACTTTGTCTAAACTCAATGGTTTGGAAAGATAAGGGTATATACCATAACATTAGATGCTAGTGTAGCTAATATTATTCATTTTGATTATTATAATTGAAGGTAACCAAAAACATCTATATCGTCCTTATTAGAGTTTTTTAAATTTTATATTTAGTACATCAAGCATGACGTTCTTGTTGCCAGAAAGTATAACTTATCTGCGCATTATACATCTACTTTAATGACAACAGTATACTCCAGTGAGGGACTTTTCAGAAATAATTATATGCCACAAATTTTATTTTTAAAGTAATACCAAACCATCGTTTTTCCACTTTGCTTCAAATGAGTTTCCAAAATTTATTTCTATGTAGTTTTTGGTATGTAGAAACTAGATTAAGAGTTCATTAGAAACATACTTGCCTCGTTTTAAATGCATATTGTGAAACTCCGAAAAAAATAGTGATCAATACTGTATTAACTATGTAGGTAAATAGATCTAAGACAAAGATCGGATAACTCTAAAAACATATATCTCTTTAGGTGCAGTTAGCTGCATTAGTGAGTCTTAGATAGTTTAGAAATATAATAAAATTAATAACAAGTAGCATTAATTCTACTTTTGCTCAACATATAATTAAGTACCCAAATTTTATTTAAAATATTAAGAAATACAAATTATTTATTTTTATTTAATTATACAATATATTGTAGATAGTGTATTTATTTATTAACGTTCACAATATTTTATAATTTTTAATAGGAAAAAGGAACTTCACTGCCTGCCGAGCGTCTCAATAAATTCGCTCACCCAAGCCTTCTAAGACACATACTGCAATTAGTTTATAATGCTGCCGTACTAGATCCAGAAAAATTAAATACATATGTACCATTTTCACCGGAGGTTTATGGTGAAACATCATATGAACTCGTACAACAAATGATCAAACATGTAAATATAACCAACGAAGACACCTTCATTGATCTCGGCTCAGGTGTGGGTCAAGTCGTTTTACAAATGGCTGGCTCATTTCCTTTAAAGACATGCATTGGTATTGAGAAGGCTGATACACCTGCCGCTTATGCTGAACGCATGGATGCGTATTTTCGTCAGTTCATGGCCTGGTTTGGAAAACGATATTGCGAATACAAATTAATAAAGGGTGACTTCTTGGTGGACGAACATCGTGAGAAAATAACATCATCAACTTTGGTATTTGTAAATAATTTTGCCTTCGGTCCAAATGTTGATCATCAGCTAAAAGAACGATTTGCTGATTTACGTGATAGTGCACGTATAGTATCATCGAAATCTTTTTGCCCATTAAATTTTCGCATAACTGATAGGTAATTTAGTTTTTCCATCTTGTATATTACGAATAATTTATTTTTTAATAATATATCAAATAAATAATTCTCTTAATAAATTTTACAGAAATTTGAGTGATATTGGCACCATAATGCATGTCAGTGAAATACCACCACTAAAGGGTTCCGTATCCTGGACTTGTAAGCCAGTATCTTACTATTTACATATTATAGATCGTACAATATTGGAACGCTATTTTCAACGTCTTAAAATTCAAAAAGGTGCTGAAAATGATCACGTCGGTAAGTAGCAAACTGGAAGCGCACTGGGAACTCTGCTCTAGCACTACCCATGCGAGTTGTGGAGCAATTTCAGGAAGGCACAATAAAAACAAAATATAAATGCCAATTAAAATAGTTCACAAACTTAAAGACAAGAAATGAATACCAAATCAAATCAAGAGAACGTCGTTTCAATCATACAAAATGCAAACGAACTATAAAAATTCATATTGCATTTATTTTTATTTATTCATTCATTTGGCTTATTCTAAACTTTTATTTGATTTCGTTTAGAAAATTCGTTTTCAAACCTATTTGGTGTTTTTATTTTAAATAAATATATTTGTGATATTGATTATCATATATTTTTTTCATTGCTACAAAAATATATATTTTTTTCATATAAATTTTCTTTATTTTTATTATTAGGTTCTGCACGTACCACCCGCGACCGTGCCAAACGCGAAGCGAATAATACCGCATATAATAACTCAAATTCAAATTCAACTGTTGCAACCAATAACCGTACCAACTCGCCAGCGAATGTTAACAACAACGCGACGGCGTCTAAAAACAAACACCAACAGCAGCAGCAGCAGCAGCAACCACCGCAACAAACACATTCGCAACGCAACATTGATATGGACACATCCACAGAAAGCGATTGCGAAGCGTCAGCGAATGGTACGAATGTAAGTAATGGGACAGGTCCTACAACTCGTAAAATATGGTCTGATTGGTGCAGCTCAAAAGGTAAAAGTTCACAATCTGATGACGAAGAAAATAATAACTTCAGTAGCACAACGAACTCAAGAAATACGCGTATCACTACACAAAAGAAACGCAAGAAGCTTACGAGAAAGGCAGCAATCGCAAACAAAACAGCTGCTGCTGCTCAAAGGGAAGCTGCTGCGAGGGAACGTGCGGAAGCTATTGCTGCAGCAGCAGCTAATAGCAAAGAATCATCCTCGAAGGAAGACAATGCAGGTAGCGGTGGAGCTTCCGCTTCAAATGGAGCAAAAGGACGTAAAGGTCGCATGAAGAAGGGAGGACGCGGACGTAAGTCGCTAAAGATCGTTGGTTTGGATGTGTTACATAAACAAACCTTGTTAAGCACGTCAGTGGAGAAAATGAGTAAAAAACTACCGCCAGCTCCTGGCTGTGTAGATCAACAATTGACATCATTATTAACTGGTAATATGTCACACACTGAATTGGACATACCAGAGGCGCCACAGAACACACCATACGGTTTGCAAATATTACTAGATCTAATACGCTCGCAATATATGAATACAATTGAGCAAATGAAAAATCCTGCTTTTGTACCACAAATAAAACAGCAAATTATGTTTGAAAAGGAGCGTAATGAACGTATCAAAAGTCGTATCAATCAACTGGAAAAACAAATTAAAACATTAATTGATGACAGTGTGGCTTTGCTAAAAGCGCGTTTAAATGAACTTGGTTTAGATGTTGTATCATCCACTAATTTAATCGTTAAAGCAAAGGAAATTGTTAATAGACACAAAGAATTGCAAAATATGGTTAAGAAAATGCAATCTCAGGTTACTATTTGCGAAATAGAACAGAAACGTTTAATAAGAATGCATTTGCAATCGCTGCCTGAATACCAAAAATCTTTTTGTATAAATGGTCGCACGAAATCCGATTTAAATGGTCACAACTCAGTTCCCGAAATATCAGAATCGAAGGCAAAGGATGTGTTGTTGAAAGAGATTTGGAATACGTTGCAAGTGCGAAAGAAGTTAAACGGTCAAGTGGACTGTTTTCAACAAGAAACAGCAGCGTTGGAAAAAATAATGGATGACCGCAGAACAGCAGCAGCATTATTAGCGCAAGGCACAAATATGACTCTAGCTACTTCTGTTTCTGCAACACATACTACCCAACTCCATTTGCCAACAGTACATGCGGCGAGTAATCCAAATGGAAATAATTTACAGCCTCTACAGCTTACAACTAATAACAATAACTTTACTGTTAACTCAGCAGTGCCAAATAATGTAAATTCATCTAAAACGAGTAGTCATACTAAAACTTCACGTCGTAGTCGAGACCATCGTACACGCTCCCAAGAATGGCCTGATGTACCTGATGTTGGCAAAATTGAAGAAAGTAACCCAGAAGTATTAGCTCAGAAAATACTTGAAACTGGTCGACAGATTGAGGCTGGAAAATTCACTACTGCAATCAACAGTAGGCATAATAATCAACATCATGATGAGAAACGCAGTTATAAGCATTCACGAAACAATAATGACGTGCCAACTGCATATGTTGGTGCACAGGACAGCACTTTAATGCCAGCACCATCTGCCAAAAGTCAACTGGTTTTAAACACAAATGTAGCATCTCCTACAGCGACCAATTCAGTAAGAAGCAGTTCAGGAATGTTGCCTAAATGTGAACTACCTGGCTTAAGGAAATCCAACACAAACAATATTGGTATACAAGAATCGCCAAAGGTAGCAAACTTTGAAGATCGACTTAAGAGCATTATTACATCGGCACTTAATGAAGATCAAGAACATCGTAAAGCAGCGACCCATCACTTACCGAACGGCATGACGCATATGCACGATGCTACTATACAACCAATAGTACAACAACCACCCTCAACGTCTAAACGCAGTAAACATTCTACTGCTGTGTCTTCAGCAAATCATTTGCCCCCACCGTCGCAGGGGTCAAACAATCTTAACAATATTCTTAACGTGGCTGCTCAAGGTCTTACACATTTAAATGCAACAACCACTATTTCTCCTGTTACCCCACCACACTCAGCCGGTATACCTCCTGGCTCAAGTATATCACACCATAATAAATTTAGTAATAAACAACAAACCGTATCGTCTTCCTTAGCAATATCCGCCCAAAAATACAGCACAAAAGATACCTCTGCAAGTTCAATGAAATATCAACATCATGTACCTGCTCATCAACTGCAACAGCATAATATGGCACATATGTCGCAACAAGCATTGTATCCAAATGGATCGAACGTAATACCTACCGATTTAGCTTACAATCATCGTCAGCGTAATAACCTTAACGCGGCCAGTTTGGAGAATTTTCACCCACAACAATTGCTTATGGCGGCGGCGGCTGCTGCAGCATCACAGCATCAGCAACACGCAATGTCTGCTTCAATGCATAACCATATACTCCCATTGGAATTTAAAGCGCCCACAACTGCTGATAGTTTTATATCTGCAGCACAGCGGTCGAGCAGTCGTGAACTTATTGATGATGTAGTAGCTCCACGTTCGGGTTCTGCTAGCTCCGATTCGGCTCTTATGTATTTTCCACCAACCCGTGATCGCTTGATGTCACATGAGCGAAGTGTAAGTCGAGAATCGGCCGCTTCACAGTCGACACAACATCACCAACCCCCTAGACCCAATTCTCGGCCGAATTCAAACTCTTCACAACCTGACTATACACAAGTTTCACCTGCTAAAATGGCTTTGCGACGTCATCTTTCACAGGAAAAACTGAATCAAGTTTTACCTGCGTCAGCTATTTCAAACGGTTCTAATAACAGTGGCATGCCAATGTCGAAAACAATTGGGGACTTAGTCAATACTGAAATCGAACGTACATTAGAGATATCTCATCAAAGTATTATAGATGCAGCCGTTGATATGAGTGCAGTTGGTTCAGTCTCAGGTATTGTTGCACCAGAACGAAATCATTTTATGGAACGTAACCTATTTGCGGAACGCGAAAGAGAGCGTTCTAATGAGGCGCGTTTACATGATAGATTATTAATAAATCCTAATGCACAGCGCCCAGAACGAGTTCATGTGCGATTAATTGATGAACAAACATCTAATATGCATATTGCAAATAATTTCTCTAATGTTTTGGATATATCTTCACGTGCCAACGCCAATGCCAATCCTGGACGAAAGTCACCAGTTGCACATAATTTGGCTACATTAGCTCATGTGGCGTATAATCACAAAGCGATTAATGCTAATGTGCATGATTCAAGTACAACAAATACAAGAAATAATAATCGTAACGCAAGCAATGCAACACCATATCAGTTATCTACATCTAAACGAATCAGTAGCACTTCGAATGATAATCAAATTACTAGAAGCTCACGTGCTAGAGATTATCAACCTGTAGCATTGCCACGAGCTGAAATGAAGGGTTGTATAGAAGCATATTTTAATGATGAGCATCAGCAGCAGCAGCAACAACAACAACAACAACAAATACAACAACATAAATCCAGTTCTGTTAAGGAACGTAATTCAGGACGCATGGGTCGTTTAAATAATGGAAATCCGCCATTGGAAGGTAAAAGCCAATAATTATAATTTGTATATACATATGTATTAAATTTTTATATTAAAACATTTTAGGTTTGGCTGCTTCTTTACAAGATCACGTGATGGCAACGCGTAAGTTTAAAGAAGAAAATGAGGAGCGCCAAAGACGTGCAGCTGCTGCAACTAATAACGAAGTACATAATCATAATCAGCAACATAATGCAGCGCATCATGTGAACAATCTAAATGTACATAATAGTGAACACCATCAGTCGTATCAGAGCACGTCAATAAATAATTTAACACAAAACGAGTCATCTCCAAAACTAGAAGGTAATACATGTCAAAACATTAGTTAAAATAACACAAACGCCAGATCTTATTTAGTTTTAATGCTATTCGAAATTTTTGTAAAAATACAATAATGATTTTGTTTTTAAACGGGCTAATTGGCCAATAGTTATTAATACGATTTTTAAAAAATTTTATTTGAGTCAATATTTCGATTATAATCTATAGTCATCTTCAGATTCATAATACCATAATAATTCATAATAATAAAGATGACTATAGAATATATTTTACATTACTTTAAATAATGTAAAAAATATGTAAATAAAAACACTAATTCTATTTGTTGATTTTAAACAAAAATTATAGTTGGTTTAGTTATAACAGAAATTTTTGGTGTACTTCATGGACCATTTTCAATAAAACAAAAAAAGAAAAGAAAAACAAAAAAAAAATTATTATTAAATAATCGACTATGAATGCACCTCGACTTAAAAGATCTATTATGCGCAATAGGTACATACATATTAAGAATTTCTATATATATAATATTCATATATATATACATAAGGGTTGAACAGAAAATGTTAAATTAATTAATTTTCGAATGTTTAAGTTAGTCTCTTAAATACTGATATAAAAGGTAGAATGTGGTAATTTATTAAAAGTTATTTTAGAAAACAATTGTAAATATTTGTGTATTTTACAGCTGGTCTTAAACGCACCTCTCCAATGGTAAACAATCAACCTCGGCCACCTAAAATTCCGCATTATTCCCAAGACTCAATCTCCTCAACTCATCATATACAACAGAATCAACAACAACAACAGCAGCAGTTAAAACATAATAATTTGAATAATCCTTATGCAAACGTGAATGGTGGTTTACATACTACACCGTCCTCATCAACGCCTTCTCCAAATAGTGCTAGACGTACAAAATTACCACTTGAACCTTTACTTATGAGTCCAGAAATTAATTCAATAATGGGTGATGAGAGGCCATTGCAATTATCTTCACAACGTCAGCAAAATCAACAACCACCAAATACGACATCAATCATAAGTGGGCGAGCTGGTGCAGATGACGGTAAGATACTTACAATCCATGAACCTAACAACGCTAACACCATATGCAATAGCCCAAATTTAATTAGCAATATCGGGAAAAAAATCATTAATAAAAAAAAAATTAAAGTTGTACGAATTAAAAAGCATCAAAAAAAACCTTCGTAATATTTTATTTTTCTTATGTGTAAATAGACCAACTGTTTTCTTTTAATAATTTTATTATTCATGATAATTTTATTACAACATCAACATTTTTTTTTAATATTCAATATTTTTTTATATGTTTATAACTTTTATTATTAACTCTTTATTATTTTTTATAATATTTACTTTTTTAAAAATTTACGTGTTTAAAATATTATCTTTTAAACATTTTAATTTTATTAAATTTATCACGTTTTAATTGCTTTAGCTTAAATGTTTTTATTAAAACTCCGTAGTACTATTCTGTTTTAAAAAGCCAATTACAAACTCTTGAACAAATTTTATGTATTTGATATACATCAATGTGTTAATATTTGTATTAATTCTATTAAAATATTATTACTATTTTAAACTTTATTTCATTTATTATGAAAATTTAACTTATAAGCACTGCAAAATTTACATATAACACTTAAAAAACTAAACAAAATAAATATATTTTCATTACATGCTATTTTCATTTGGTTTTCTTTATATGTTTTGTAATTATTTATTATTTATTTTGTTTTTTCAGCAATTTTTATTTTTAATACTTTTGTTTTGTATTATTTTTGTTTCCTTTCTTTTTTTTGCTTTTTTAACGTGGTTATAAGCTTTTGGTTTAAGTTTAATACTTCTTTTTTATTGGTTTAAGCATTTTTTTTTTGTCTTCTAAACAGCACTACAAAATTATCCTTTTAAAACTGACAAAAATTCCTTAAATAATAAGTATTGGAATATATAGATAATACAATATTTTTTAAAATTAATTTGATACTAAATTTAAATTGATACTAATTTATTCCTTGTTTGCAAAGCCCACAAGCAAAGCTTTGTCAAAGTGCTGCTTTAGGATTTTAAATGTGGATAAAAATTAGTTTGTTAAATATTTTTAAAATTATATAATTTTATCCTGCGTTTGATTACACTGAATAAATTTTGATAAGATTTTAACAAACACTCATTTTTTCACAAACACTAAAGTCGGTTTAGGTAGAAGTCATAATTATAATTATAAGTAATTATAAGAACACATTTCCTAAATAATGTTTGAAAAATATATTATTACTAAAATTGCTATCACAACTATGTTCGGAGATAATAATACGAACATAATAAATGTCCAAGCACGCCAATTCGATAAAGGATTTTAATGGTAGTAGCTAAGTTAAGATCGCTTGGAGGTGCGGTCTTGAGCACCAATCAAAGCTCACTTGAATAAAAATACCGACACATGATCTCACGGTTGAGACACTGTCAGTACTAGTATTTTGAGCACAACGCAACATGTCAACATGCCGATGTAGCTTACTTTTAGAAAAATCGATGTTTACAGTTGGAAACTATTTTTATGGATTACACTAGCGCCAACTACTAATATATGCAATTTTTACATTGATTCCACAAACGACGATTAACAACAAAAAGACGTCACAAATAATGGTTTTCATGTAAAAACTGTCAGTCTTAAAGTTAGATATCTCGAAAACTAAACTATATTGATATGTAATGTAATAGAAAAATTACTCAAACTATCTATTTTTTCTTAAATCCTAAAATTCAAATATTCTTCTTCGATCATCGTTACTCAGCACCTGAATGGCTTTTGGATTATATATATTTATTAACATTTCTAACGCAATGTTTTGGTCATGAATTGATTTATCCTCTATTTCAATACTGTGATTATTTCTCGTGCTGAGACTCTCATATCAAAAATTTGATTTTTTGATCCCGATTTTCATCGAAGAAACACTAAAATAATAATTTTATGAATTCTCTTTGTTGGATAATCGGCATATTAGCTTATTCACTTTTTTATCGAGCCAATCAAACGCGAATTGTTTATTTTAATACGTTATATAGAATCCCCAAGTGTGGGATATGGATTTTGACAGTATCACATTTAAAAACCTAAAGGACACTTTTGTAAAACATAAAATATGTAAAAGAAATATTAAATGAGAATTTATATTTTTATAAAATTATAATTTTATTAGTAAAAATTTAATATATAAAAGTAACTGCGTTTTTTTAAACTACTAAGTAGTATGTAATAATATTTATTTTATTTTTTTTTAATACAATTAAAATTAAGTTATAATTTAATTCAAAGTTTATTTATTAAAAAATTGTAACATATTTTTAGTAAAGTTTCCTTTAAAATATTTTTTCAATTCCTAAAAATTACATGATAATTCATTTATTTTTAATATGAATATTTTTTCTAATTTTTTATACCCTTTGTACATATAGTGTTAAAAATTGGTGTAGATATATTAGAGAGAATACCAGCTATATATACCTTCTAATCAAAAAAGAACGAGAGGCCTAATTTTGAATTCCCGCGCTTATCCAATCGGTAAATTTTTTTTATTTTCACACTGGCAACACTATTATACACATTCTGTTAAAGTTTAACACATATCGTACGATTAGTTTTTGTTTGGTGTCTATACAAAAAGTCGAAAAAATTTCGTGTGGCGATTTTTATAACCACGAGTATACGAATGGTTTAAAAGGTTCAAAGACGGTCGTACCAGCTTGGACCATGATGAGGTGATGAGATCCCTGGTCGCTCAACAACTTCTGTTACTGAAGAAAACATTGAATCGGCGAAGCAAATCGTGTTGGAAAATCGTTGTGAACCGATTAGAGGGATTGCAGTGTTGTTGGGCATCTCATATGGAGCGATCGAACACATTTTAACTGATGTTTTGGGTTTGAAACCCGTCGCCTCTCGGCTGGTGGCAAAAAAGCTGAATTTCATTCAAAAAAAGCCGCAGTTTTTGGCCGAAAACTCCACCAATATCATCAACCAAGCACCGACTTAAATCGCTATTGCGAGGAACGCGTTTTGAGACCATAGAGGCCATAAGGTTAAAATCGCCACAGAAAAATTTTTCGACTTCTTTGTATAGACGCCAAACAAAAACTGATCGTACGATATGCGTTAAACTTTGAAAGAATGTGTATAATAGTGTTGCCAGCGTGAAAATAAAAAAATTTACCGATTGGATAAGCGTCGGAATTCAAAAATTAAAAATTAAAGTTCTTTTTTGATCACAAAATAGCAATTTATAAATTTGAAATTAGTCTCTCAGTCTAATTCAATGTCTAGAATATATGCCGATATGACTGAAATCAGTTGATTTAATCATAATGCAATATATTGCTAATAATATACATCACAAATAATTGTCCTTATTTATCAATATAAGATTTTTTCAAAATTAACCATTTGTCTTCAGTCTCAAATTAGACCTTATTTTTGACTTCACTGTCGAAATAAAACCTATGGAGTACGAAGGAAGCGATGGAAATGTTATTAGTGCAAATAGTATTTATATTGCCTTCTAATATTAGATCAGAAGGTAATCATATTAATCTTATACTTGACTTTACGTTCATTCAAAATAATTTTGTAGACTATTCTTAAATGTGTTAGATTAGATAACTGATATAATTCGAGCGATCAAACGTTTGTCATTAGTATTCCTTACGACCACGTTTAAACTCAACAATTTCTTGGCAAATAGTTAACTAATAGTTATTGTTAATCAAGTATCATAAAATTCCGACAAATATATTTTAAAGATTGCCACTTCATTGTTTAACATTATGTACATGGCGTTGCCTAATGATTAGTTTTGAAGCTTATTAAATCATGTATTTTCATAAACTTTCTATATTGAAATTTAAAAAAAATTTAAATTATGACTATTGAAAATTAGACTATTCGGTTTGGGTTTAAATATGGACTTAATATTGTCCATATATTGAAACGTCTAATATTCGTTAATATATTGCCACTTAACGAATACGATCAAATGATCGTCGAACATAAATGTTTCCAATTTTTTAACATACATTGAAAGCAACAAAAAAATATGGTGATCGATCGCCTGTTTCACATAGCTCTAAATATAGTTTTTAAATATTTATTAATGTACTATTTAATTTGGATATACCTATAGATTAGGATTTTTATTAAGAAAATCTTTTCAGTTTCTTAATATTATTTCACCAAATTAAATTTTGAACAATTAAAGATCTATAGAATATAGCGGCGCAAAAGATGTGCTGTAATCACTGTGTACTGGTACTCTCAGTTGCTTTCCATGTTCTATGTATAGAAGGGTGTTTAAGTTTTGGTAAAACTAAAGTCCATTTTTTTTATTTTATTTTTTATTTTATTTTAATTTTATTGCATTAAATGTTTTCATTTACGCTTTTTTATTTATAAATTACTTCAAATAATATAGTATAATTATTATATTTACTAATTACATATGTTTTATAATTATAATTTCTTATGATATAAATTAACATATTAAATACTGTGACTACTAAAATCAATTGCTTTGTCCGTTTAGATCATATTAGTAGCAGTAAGAATATGAGGTTTCATTGACGCTATATCAGGTCGCCAATGATTACAAAAGAATGGTTACATTATTTACAATATCACTTTATTTGTAAATTTAACAGAATATTATATGGTTACATTTATTAAATTACTAATGACACACACGATATATATAAATAGATATATATTACTTTCCATCATTATTGTTAGGGGAAGACATAACTAAAATATGGGTAAAAGTGTTAATTTCAATAAAATAATTTTTTACTACAATAAAAAGTAAATCATTTTATACATAATTATTGCTAGCTAATGCATAAAACTATTGGACTTAACTATATAGTGCAAACGTTTAATAATTATCCGTATGTATATCAGATAATGTTTTATATAAACAATTACATGATTGTATACTTGTAGATATCGTTAATAATATTTTACGATAATAATTGAATTAAATATATATAAACGAATGGGGGATTTCTTACTTCATAATCGTCTGACTAACACATTTCCACATTTCATCATCATATTTTTTTTAAATTTCAACATTTAAATTTAATTGTTTTCGCAAAATTAAGTAATTTTCTTAAAATACATCCCACTATACTCTAATTATATACTCCATACAGTTTCAAAATCGGGTCATCGAACATTACCAATTTGTGTCAAAAAAAATCAAAAAAGTGACATTCGAGCCGGATCCTATAAAAAATCAAGATCTGGTTCAAAAAAAAAAAATTCCTAAAAGTGCTACTCACTCAAAAACGGATTAATTCTAGTTGCCGATAATTGTAATAGATCACCATAGTCTAACAGCAAAAGCCTTTAAGCGCACCCAAACAATTCATACTAGAACTATTTATGCAAATATAAAGTCCCAAATATTTGAACAAAATTTAAAAAAACAGGAACAGATATATTTTTGTCGTTACTGTAAATAAAAGATATAAATTTGTTAATGAAGGTAAGTTGATTTTTAATTGGCTTTATTTTTATTATTTTTTTTATATATATATTTTTTTATTATTTTTAATTGTTTCTTAAGTGTTATATGAATTTAAAAAAATTTTTTTTTTTATAAAATACAAATTTTAAGAATCCATTACAGTGAATATGAGAAAGATACGAGTATAGGAAAAGTATCAATACTTATTGCAATGTTAAAGGCTTTCTACGTTTGAGGATAGTATAGTATTAATTACTTATAGGATAATTACAGACTTTGCAATATTATTAGAATGTTAAATTTTTCGTATGTAGTACCATATAGAACAAAGGAAATCAGGAGGAGTAATTATTATCCACGTTTTACCTAATGTTTTTTTAAAGAATTTCATCATTTTTATTTAAGTACAGTTTCCTTTGTTTACTTTCACTTGGTTAAAGGTTTCCAACGCTTCAGGTGCCGGTATACAGTCTTAACTTGTATATTTTAGTTTATATTTATTTACATATATAGTTTAGTATTATAAAAAAATGCTAAAAATGCTTAATAAGCAAAAATCATTTGTTTATGTATTCATGATTCGCAACACACTAATTAAAATGTATATAAAAAATAATTTCCTGTTATCCAATTAATCCTATTAAATTAAAATTACTTAAATCTTTTATTAATGCTAATGCAATTTTTATCTATAATTACTAGATGACGGCATTGCTGATGATGAAACCCATTGGCAGCATCGAGTCAGTTCGGGCTTTGATCGATTGGTTGCATTCGCGTCTACTGAGTTGGATAAGACGCGTCGCTCAATTGATACAGATACCGTACCTTCTTCAATTAGCTGTAACACTTCACCTGATTCGGGTATCACTCATAGTAGCAGTAATTCAGATATGGCACGCACATTTCTATCCACATCATCGACATCATCGCAACTAGATATGCCAATTGGTAGTGGTGGTAGTAGCAGTAGCGCAAGCTCTAATGGTAGCAACTATATGCATCACTTGCATCATCATGTCAGTGATCATCTGAGCGATAGTAGTATGAAATCTTCGCATTCAGATGCAACATCAATGCGTACCACACTAAAAACATCATCACCTATAGATACTAATACCATTGAGAGTCCGCCTTTATCAGATATTGGTTTACCACGTACACCTAGTCCCAATGCTGTTGTTGCTACACCACCACCTGTAGCGGCTGCCGTGGCTGCGGACATAGTTACCACGCACAGTTCTACAGTAAACAATGATGCCAATAGTGGTAGTGGTAATTCCTTAAAAATACCACTGAAATACCAACGAAAATCTAAGACATCGTCAGAAAAACATTATAAGAAAAAGTTCTGTGAACGTAATTGGGAGTACGATTGCGATGAAATGAGTTACTCCAATAATTCAAGTAACCCGGCCACAAATATTAACGTTAATGGACCATTGAGTATGAGTTCGAAAAATGAGAATGAACATCGCACTCCCCCACATATGAAAACCGGTAAATCACCAAAGGAGAGCACAAATACAGGGAGCAGCAGAGATAATGAACGAGAGCGTGATCGTGAACATCAAGTAAGCAATAGCAATCATCATTACTCAAGTTCAAGTCATCATCATCACAAATCATCCAAATTCAGACCTAAAGGCAAAGATTGGGATTGGTCTATGGAAAACAATGGCGGTAATTGTACAAATATCAATGCAAACAACGGTAGTAGTAAAAATAAAACGGAACTGACGGCCACAACAACAACGACTAATGTTAATTAAGCGTAAAATAATTTTAGTTTTTATTTAGCAAACTTTTAACCTAGATGTAGTTATATATATATTCTTTTTTATTAATTGTTAATACTACATTTATTATAATATTTAGATATATTTTTATAATATTTATTTTGTATAATTTTAATTTTACTTGATATTTGATAATTTAATATTTTAAAAAAAATTTATTCTTTGTTAAGTTCACAAATGTTATTAATATGCAAAAATATTTAATTTTATTTGTAATTGTTTAAATTTATTGCCTTAAATTATATTTTGTTAATAATTTCCATTATTTTCCTGTTAATAAAATTTTTGTTTCATTAAAATTATGTATCTTTTTTAACTCACAGTTTTACAGTTTATTATTGCGGTTGGTTTTATTAAAGATTGTTTAATTAGTAACAATAGCTCGATGTGATTCTATTTTAAACCTTTAAATACTAACTTATCCAACAAAGTTTTATTTACATCTTAAACAATCATGAGATTATCTCTCAGTTCAAATCTCTCAGTTTTGGTGTATATATTGAAATGTTATATCTGAAGATTGTGGGTGGATGGCTTTTAAAAATTATTTAAATTTTGTTTTATTGTTGATGTAATCAATAAACGATATTCTATTTTATTTGACTGGCCAGCTTCAAATTGGTCTAGACGGAAGATAATAAAGCGAAAGCTATTTAGTCTAGCACAATTTAAAAAGTTAGGAAAAAAACAATTAATCATATTTGTAAAATAAATATTGTGCTTTCCACATTTTTTGTGACAACAATATTTGCTCTGGACCAGGAAGAAGATACTGAATCCAAATTAAAACAAGAGGCGGAATGTTTCAGCTGTTAAAGGAATCGACTTCTAAGTACAAGAAATCAGAAAGTGTTGCTTCAGTTAATTTTAGTTTATACATAAAATGTTTAGTTTATACACAAGTTAAAAATATATAAGTAATAGAGCTTGGATAGGTTTTAGGCTACTGTGCTCTCATTTACTGTTAACTAAAAATTTATGTTGGATTTAAAATATGACTTTTGATTGTCAAATTCTGGTGGTACCAGGATGTATTGGCACTTCAATGTGAAGATTTTTCATAAGCATTTCAATTAAATTTTTTAAACGCACAATATATTGCTCGGTAGCCAGCAAATCTGTTGGGAATCAGAATAAAGGAGTGTTTATATGTTATATATATGGTTGTGAAAACGATTCTTCGTAAATGTTATACTACAATTAAGTAATAAAAGATGAGATAATGTTGAGATTATGTTTAGTAATGCACTAATCTCTAATCAATTGAACGTATCATGTCCACTAACAAACTAAATACGAGTAAATATATATTTGATCAGTTTTGATCATCAACAACAGTTCGTGTTAGACATATCTTTTTTCACACCTGTTTAAGGACACATAGTTTTGCCGCTCTTTTAGCACTACTGATGCTAAGATCTACAATATCTTAAACTGTATGGAATGTGTCATATAGTACACATTTTAGACGGATATGACTTTCCGTCTAATTTTTCTCTTTCTAATACAAATGTCTCAATAACAGGACTTTGTCTCGACTGAATAGAGATTTGAACCAATAAATATATATAATTTAGAGGTAGATGATGAAGAAGATGAAATTAAGCCTAGACTCACTTGGAATAAATTGTAATTGTTACTGATAATTGCGTTCCATCTTTTTATTTCTTTTAGAATATTCTATAAATTTAAAATAAGAGCTTTTGAGTTCTTAGAAAAGCATATATGGATGGATTTTATATTAATCCATTATAGTTATATAATATTTAATGTTTATTCATTATGTGTTTAAAATTTGTAATTATTCGAGAAATACTTTAATAGAAATTTAATTTTTAAAAAATCCATATTAACTTATTACAGTCAAACGCAGTAGATGTGAGAGAAAATTGTTTAAATTATGAACGAGTAGTTGTATGGACGTTAGCGCGATGATTCGTACAGCTTCGTCTGTTATTAAGTATCGTCTTAAAGTACTTTGAGATTTAAAGTATGCGATGAGATGCTATTAAATTCGTTTATTTATTATAGTAATGATATTCCCAATGTCTTTCACGAATAATTAAAATACATTATTAATTCATCTGATATAAAAAAAATTAACTTCTAGAATTTAATTATATTAGTTAAAAACTCAAAAGAATATAAAATTAAATTAATTAGTTGAAATTATATAAAAAAGTTTTGATTTATATATACAAATAATATACCTATATAATTAGAGCACAAATTTTGAAGCGGGACCAAGAACAATTACAAGTTTCGGACATATGTGTATATAATAGCAATCCTCCTCATAGACTAGACATAGATATTCTCAATGGAATCGTGAAAATAAATAAAATACAAATGTTTAGATACTTTTAGTTAAACACAGTAAAAACTGCCAGCTTAGTAATTAAAAACACCAAGAATATGATGTTTCCAATGGAATTTTTTTCTTCACGACATTCGTTTTAAACTTTTTTGTAGAGTTAATAATTAATAAATGCAGGATATAGATTGCGATTAAATAAACAATTCAGTCAAGAAACTATTTGCACATAAAAATTATTTTTTAGTTTTCTTTTTTCACATTAACCGAATTTTCTTCACCGTTTTAGAAAGTGTATAATATTTAGAATATTTCTTTACAGCAAACGAATATTTGAAAATATAAAATAAACACAAAAAATAAATAAATAAATGACGATCGCTATTTATTATATATAAAGCAGTTTAAAACTCTAAATAGATGAGAGCCATTAGTGCCAAAGCTTTGTTTAATGTCAACTCTTACTTCGAATTTTTTTTTTAATTTGTTAATTCTGATAAATATATTTTTATTTTATTTGTTAAAACATAATTTATGCATATTTCAAATATTTACAATAATATTTAATAAATTTGTCAATATAAACTTTTTATCTTAATTTTTTTTTATTAGGTGGTATTTTAAAATATAATAAAAAAATATTATTTTTAATTAAATTTTGGTGTCAATTTGCAAAAACTAATATCATTTTTTCTTTTAAAAAATTAAATTTTTTTATACGCTGTACAAATATGTATATAATTTCTAAATTGTTGTTGTTATTTTCGCATATTAATACACATAATTTTTGTGTAAATATGTTTTATAAAATATAATTTTAACTATATAAATAAGATACTTTTGCATGATGTGCAGTTGTAATATTTATTTATTTAATGTAAATAAATAATATGATTCAATAAGAAGAAAAGTTTGCATAAAATGTTATTACAATAACTATAATAACAATAAGTAACTATTGAAAAAAAATTAAAACAAAATATAAAAATATACATTTAATATTTAGTAATATGAAATTTACTATAAAATTTAATAACCGAAGTTTAATTGAAAAAATATAATTAAATTTTAATTAAAAATTTAACTCAAACGTTCAATGATATAATGAAAATATATTTAAATATTAAAAAAATTAAAACGAATTAAAAAGAATTTTTATACCATAAAAGTAAAGAAACAAAGCATTAAACTTAATAAAACTTTATACTAAAATCGTTTTTCAACTTATAGTCAGGGTCTTTTTTATATATTATATATTTTTTCTTTAAATTTTATAAAAATTTTTGCCGCTGTACGAAAAACATAAGTAAAAAAACCAACAAAAATAATACAATATATTGTATTTTTTCTTACCTTTTTATGAAATATCAATTAAAAATTTTATTTAGTCATTACAAAAATATAAGAGAAAAAAAAAAATTAATTGAAGTATAATACCGTTAAAACCGTATAATTATTATGTGACTTTAATAAAGAATTTGCCACCTCAGCGAAATATAACAACAATTTTTGAATATATTTTTTAAATATAGTATAAAGCAAAATATATCAGGAAAATAACTTTTATAGCAATAAAACTTATACTTGTGTAAAATATATTAAATAATACTGAAAAGAATATATACGTAAATAGTTTAACATTTACTCTAAACATAACATGTATTAATAATAAAGTATACTCAAAAAAGATACAAATATTAACATTTTACAATAGTTATAATAAAGAAGACCTTACATTAAGTATTTAATTATCGTAAAAAATGCTATGCAGAATAAAAAATTAATATGAAATATTTTAATAACAAATAAACTTCCTTGCAAATTAAAAACGGGGATTTCAAAATGTGCGATTATTAAACAAACAATTACTTTTAATATAAACAAAATATTAATACAAAGTATTTATATAGCAGCTATTTAATAAATATACAATATATCTATATCTATATATATATATATAAATATATATATGTATGTATAAAGGTAATTGCAGTTGTAGACAAATTTATTTGTAAACACAAATATAGCTGATATTAATATAGTAGAAATAAACATAAAAATATTGTGAATATATTTAAAAAGCATAAAGTAAGAAAATAAGTGGTATGTTAACAATTTTTTAAATACTGTACATAAAATTAATAATACTTGCCGTAAACTGTTAAAGGATGAACTATTAAATTCAACCAAAAAAATTTATTTTATTTTTTTTTTTATTGTCTTTATAAATGTTATAATTAATTTAATTTTTACTCACATTTTTTGCACAGTTTCGAGATCATTGCATATATTCTTTACCGCTTGTACAGTTTTAAGCTCACAGCATATTGTACCACTCATCGTTAATATATGAATTGAATTTCTATAAAAATGATAAAGATAATTTTATTTTATCATTGAAAAAATAAATTTAAACAATAATTTAAATTGATTTTTTTTTTTCAAAGTGTTGCTGCTGCTCATTATTTATGTTATTGTAGATATTGTTTTATGTAAAAAGTTTTTATGTTATGAATGTCATTTAACTGCAATTTTATTTATGTTTTATATTTTATGTATTTTCACAAGTGATCTGGATTTTGATAGTTATTCGAGGAGAATTAATTATTTGAGAAAAGAAAAATTGGGTTAATATTTCACATAAGTACTTAAATTATTATTACTGCAAAGGAAAACGATGAGACCGTAAATAATATCGGAAGCTTTGTAGTAATCGATTATTGATAATTAAGCGATAAGAAATAAATACAAACGTGCCATAAAGCAGTGGATGTAATATGTAAACTCACAACCAGACAGGTATATGGAGAAAAAGAGAATCATGTATTAATTTCTGTATTCACAAAAAAAAACCTAAGCATAGGTTATTAAGAAATGTTTTAAAATTACTAAATTTGTAATATAACGAACGATTAAAAATTATGTTAAAAATTTTAATATAATTTATTCATCAAAAAGAAACAAATCTTAAAGTGTCGTTTTAGTTGAATTCATTACTTATACCTCGTTTTCATTATATTATTTTAAATGACAATTATAATTGACTGTCAAATGCGTTTTCATTTCATGACAGAAATGCGAATATAACATCATATGACTACCCGTTTTCAGTCGTTTCTTTAATTTATATCCACTTATAGCTTTCGAAAAGATCATTTAACTATAAAGTTTGTTATTCTACTTCGTCAATTTTTAACAAATGTATGTTGAATTACTGTTAAAATCAGAAGCAGTTTTATATATTATATTATGTTTTATATATTATTTACTTTATTTGCTATTATTTAGTAATTTTCACAATTTAACTTTTAAGCTGCAATATTTATCCAATTAATTCATATTTTTACTTTACAGTACGGTAGGTGAACTATATTATATTAATCAAATAAAATAAATAATAATAAATTTATATAAAACGTAACTTGTGTCATTTTTAACCAGCTGTATGCGAGTGTTCTTATATAAGAAATATAAACTATATTATTATAAAAATAACAGAATAAATAATGAAGAAAGAAGCCCTTATAGTAAATGTTTGAAGAAACTTAGCAAATTTAATAGAAAATAATAAAAATAAATAATCTAAAAGATATGTATTTTTTGTTTTATGTATATTTTTCTAAGCAGATATTGTTTTTAGTATTATGTAACATAAATTAGTTATATTAAACAGAATAAAAATTAATTAAATAATTTAATATTAAATTTAAGCCATATTGATGATAAGAATAAAATAACGACAACGTGTAATTTTAGTTGTAAACAATTATATATATATTATATATAAATCTATAGTATATACACAAATTAATAGTTCAATTTAAAGAAAGAATTAAAAATTGCATATACGCAAAATTAAATTTTAA